GGTGAATTTCTAAAACTTACATGGTTACTCACAAATGTGTGTCATTCATTTTCCGCTGTTTTGAAAATCAAGGGTACGTATTGAAGAACGCACACATTTAGCATCAAAAAACCGCAACAATGGAGTAAAAGTATTCTTTGATATCAAGGTTTATATTATAATTCCGTAGAAGTGAAGAAATTAGTTTGAAAGCGCATTATCTTCATTCCTATGAAAATACAGGGTGTCAATTAATGATGATAACGGTTTCTAGGCCGGATGACAACGGATTTGTCAAATAAAAATCGAATCTTATGTTCGGATTAGAAATTATTGTTTTAAAATGCGAAGGCCACAGAATGGAAGAAGACGGAGAAGACGCAAAGTAAAACTGTGAGACAGTTCTGGGTAATTCAAACTATACTGAAACTAAGCGAATGATTTATAAATTGATTTCAAAAATTTTTTGAAGAATGACAGTCACAACGACTATACAGGGTGTTAATTAATTGTGTGCCGATAATACAAGGTGTGAATCCTCGCGTGATTTTGAGGAGATAAGTTTATATCAACATATGTCCTAAACCTCTTAGTTTTTGACCTACATGGTGTTGAAATCATATGCGTACAGATATTTTTTTAAATCATAACATTCAATATCAGGCCTACGTGAACATCACTGGTAAAAGAGTAAAAAATTGAATTTTTACAAAATACTAAAAGCTATCTCATTGAACTGAAGAAAACTTTCTTTTGTTTAGGAGTCACAAAAATAGTTTCAATTTTTAGAAAAATCAGTGGTACCATTTTTTCTTAATAAATTGTCAATTATAACCCCGTACGGATGTCACTGGTGAAAATTTTGAAAAATATTTCACGTCAATAAATGCTCCTTAATGATGAAAAGGTGTGAATTATGATAAAAAACGCCCTTTTTCTTAAAGTTTCAAGACCCTGTAGCTCGGGACATATGTTGATTTGAACTTTTCTTTCTAAAATCACCCAAGGATTTCATCAATTTGTATCATCGGCAATCAATTAACACCCTGTATAGTCGTTATGACTGTCATTCTTGAATACATTTTTAAAATCAATTTATGAATCATTCACTTAGTTTCAGTTTTGTCTAAATTGCCCAAAACTTCGTACAGTTTTACTTTGCCTTTGTATTTTAAAACAATAATTCCTAATTCAAACATGAGATTCGATCTTTATTTGACAAATCCGTTGTCATCCGGCCTGGATACTGGCGTAGAAATTGAGGAGTACGATTGTTTCTCAGTATAACTCTTATCCGATAAATCCGTTATCATCCGGTCTGGTTACCTCCGTAGAGGTTGAAAATCTGTTGTCTCTATTTGTCGTGAATATCAATTGTGGAAAATATTTTTGCTAATGTTGGGCTAGTTAAATTATCGCACTTGTATAACGAAAAATCGCATTGCAATGTGAATACAGATTAATATAGGGCTATGTTTTATCGACCATTACCTAGTTAATGAAATTAAAAACCTACATTGGTAGTGAAATAATAAGTCATGATAAGTTCTAGGACTGGTGGAAAAAACCTAAATGTATTCCCTGTTTCACACAACACGAATTTGATACGGAAAATAGTAGAAAACTTTTCAAAAAATCCCTTAAGTATTGATAAACAAATAGTTATTTATTATACAAAGAAAAATAGTAATTTATGGAAAGTAACATTTTATAACCTGTCACAGTTCTAGTCCCCCACTTTGCTGAGTGTGTTTTTCAAAACGCACCCTTTGCATTCCGAATTAATTTCAACTTCATTGATACACAGCAAAAAAATTATTTGAACAAAGCACAACTGTGTCCAGTTAGAAAAATGCTTAACCTCCAATGATGGCACAAATTTGCGAGGAATCCTATACTTATTAACATATCGAGGGTAATATATCAGTAGGGGATAATTAATCAGAATAAAAGATTTTTAAAAAATCTCTGCACCCGATGAATGTCATAGTATGTTTTTTTAGAAATTAGTGAGTATCTTTGTGAGAGACTATCATCAGATTTTGTTTTTATAATTATTCTGAAATTTATCTAGCAAACAGTGCAAAGTCGTACAGTGCAAAGTCATTAGAGCCTAGCCATAGCACCACTATACGGGAAATATTGCCACGGTGGCAAGTCAAGAGCGTATAAACTTGTTTTGTAGTTTGTTTTGCCAGAAGCGTAGTGGTCATTAGAGTAGTTTCTTCCTTCCTCCGAACGAAAAGACCGGGGTTCGATCCCTGCTCCAGCTAATCTTTTTTTATTTTTTTTTCCGAAGTAATTAATCGAAAAAAATACTATGGAGGCATTTATTAGTTAGGTCGACAGTGATTCGCTATTTCAATTAGGTTTCTTCTCAGGATCGGCCGAAATTATTCAGTTTCTGGCACCCAGCGAGCAGCGAGCGAGGCTCAATATTACCTCGCTATGGTGCTGTAGACTCTAGTTGCAAAGTCGTTCTGCACTTTGAGGTTACGAAATATTATATTATTTCCCTGATAGAACACCACTGAAATGAGAATCATGGATGATTCAAAATGTTGATACAATTTTAGCTTTTAGTGGCTGAAGGGTCCATAAGACTTCATTATTTAGCGATTCAAAAATGGCGTATATATGACCTTGATATATTACCCTTTGGTTTCTCTAGAGGTAATCCAGAATAAGGTGCCGCAAAAAAGAGTTGTCTGTAGAAAAAAAAAAAGTTCTTGTTCTGAGCAACTTGTTTTTCATCTAAATATTATTCTGGTAAAGCTGCATTTATCATGCGATAGGTTTTTCTCGAAAATTTTGTTTGGTACTTACGTATTTTTGTCTGGAAAACACGAATTTGATAAAGAAAATGAGAACAAACCACTATTTATCGAGATATTTCAAGGAAAAGTTCGGATTTTCGCCTTCTTCTTCCCCATGTGTTTGATGCATTTCCAGCTACTTGCTCTTCTTATTTTGGACACTCTTTATACTTCAATGACACATTTTTATAAAGAAGATTCGGAAGGAAGTATGATATGTATAGCGAATTTTTCATATTTTTTAGTGAACAAGCATACCAGATGACGGCCATTTAATCAATAGTCAATCCAAATTTGAGATGTCAAATGTCAACAGGTTGCTTTGAATGGCATTACACACGCCATTATTTTAAATTATATTCTTCGTTCTTTTCACTAAATATGGATAAATCACAAGAAAATCATGTTTCTAGTTGACTCATATAATAGAAAGAAATGTGTCGTACATTGTGATATACAGTGTGTCCACCTTAAGGACTTACCACCCCTGTGAAATTGTTATTATCTGACCGATTTCAAAAAACTTTTTTTTGTTGGATAGGTATTTGAAATGTCCATCCAACAAGAGTGATTTTACTCATGAACTGTAATCGTGGCCAACTGCGACCAACTTTATTGACCAATACTTGAGGAAGCACTATTAGGGATTGTTTCCACAAAAAACAATGATGGATTCTGAATCACGATCACTTGAAAAACACCCTTACTGATTTTTAACATCATAAAACACAGGGTATCCGAAAAAACGAATTATGTTTTTTTTTAATAGGTGATCAGAAAATGTAGTATTGTGGTATTTTTGAGAAGAATTGATGACACATTATTATTGAGGATCCCTTTGAATATATCTGTACCGATTTTCATCATCCAAAAATACGATGTGTATGAGAAAACAATTAAAAAGAATAAGTAGGCAATATTTTTTCATCAACTCACAAAAAATATTAATTCTATTTTTCGAACACCATGTGTTTAATGATGATGAAAATCTGTACAGGTATGTTCCAAGTGATCCTGATTCATCTTTTTATATTGAGTGAAGAATTATCAGGATGAAAAATATTGCTTACCTATCTTTTTTAATTTTTTTCTCAGACACATTGTATATTCAAATGACGAAAATTGTTACAGGTATATTTCAAATAATCCTCAATGATAATTTGTTATTATCTCTTTCTAGAAAAACCACAGAACTACATTTGCTGATAACCTATTTGAAGAAAACGATGATTCGTTTTTTCGGACACCCTGTGTTTCATAATGATGAAAATCGGTACAGGTATATTTCAAGTGGTACTGATTCAGAATTCATCATCAAGTTTCGTGGAAAAAAATCCCTAATAGTACTTTCCGGAATATGGGTCATTGAAATTTGTCGCAGTTGGCCACGATAACAGTCCAAGAATTAGATCACTCTCTCGTTGGATGGGCATTTCAAATACCTATCCAACAAAAAAAGGTTTTTTGAAATTGGTCGGATAATAACGATTTTACAGGGGTGGTAAGTCCTTGAGGTGGACACACTGTATATAAATTGTCCCATAATGAAAAAAGGGTCAAATTGTTCTAAATGCGATCCAGAAGACAGGCGAAACAGAAGGTGAAATTTGTAACTACATAGTGAAATATCTTAATAAATAATGGTTCGTTCACATTTTCATTATAAAATTCGTGTTTTACAGATAAAAATACGTAGGTTCCTAAGTAATTTTCGAAAAAAAAAAAACATCGCATGATAAATGCAGTTTTACCATTATTCTTAAATTGGGATTATATTCTCAGCAGTGGCTGACGAATTTTTAAGTGAAATCTCAAATATCTCTTATTTTGCAGTACTTGATTCTCGGTCACCCCCTGTATATGCACAAATACAGAACGTACATGATTTTAAAAAAATATCCAAAGTACCCGCAGCGTCTAGATGTTTGATGTGTCCAGGACCGGCTCAATTCATTTTTGTGTAATGTTCTACATTGGCACCGAGTACTTCTTTTGTGCTTTTTTTTCTCGAATTTTCCATAAAATGGGAGACTGCATTGTGTGAGATGAGAGAATACATATACTGTACGATGGTCTGTATAGGTGTAGCTGCAAAACAACGTCGTTTGGGACAAATTAGGGAGCATCCCTACCAAAGAGCGGGTGCCCTCTCATAAACCCCAAATAATGACAAGGTTAGTTGACTGTTTTTCTATTTTATTTCAGATGTTCGTCCCTATGAGAATCAGTGTGGTCTATATACTATTTATCTACTCTAATTTTATACTCTTATATACATATGAACATAATATATTTATCGTTTTTTTTTACAAGTTAGTACGTCTAGTTCAGAGAAAACAATTTATTGTGTGCTATATTTTATCCATGGAAATTTAGCAGTTTTATCAGTATTGAGTGTACATTTTTTTATGCGGGTTGTGAAATACACTCTTCTCACGTATTTTTCGAGAAAAGATGCTCTGCTAAATTAACGAGGAAAGAAGGATTGGCTTTATGACAGTTTTAGGTTACCATAAAATGGCCTCTGAAAATAAAAATGAACCCATACAGGCTGATGATTTGGTCACTTTGAAAATTTCAACTTCTCTATACAACTGAAATATATTCAACTTTGGAACATCCTGTATATTTTATTAATTTCAGAATCTCCATCCATTTTTTGACCACTTCTCTTGATGTTCCCGTAATCGTAATGAAATTTGGAGGCTTTACACATTCCAGCCTAATCTCTAAAATAAATACTTCTCTAAAGTAACTCTAAAGTGTTTGTGAAAGAGTTATATAGTTCCATCCTTATTCAATTCTAGGGAGAAACACTAGATTTTTGACATCTGTTGTTTTTTAGGTTATATTGAGGTCATTGGCGTATCATACGTAATTCCTGATTCAACTATATCAAAATATAGATGAACAATCCTCTAGTTTTAGAGTTTACTACTCCAGCATAATCTTTGCGAGGTAGGGAACATAGAAATTGTACTGAAAGCTTAATATATTTCACCAAAAGATACTGTTCTTAGACTGTATACCAGGGTTGACTACTTATATTCTACTTCGTGTTAATTCGACTAAGTATCTACGAACGCGTGTGCAATTGATCTTTCAAACAACTATTTATTACAAAGCTCGTTCGCCATATTGGATCCGACATCTTGAATATCCGAATTCTGACAAAAAATCATAAAGATCGACCCCGAAAACCCCCAGGAACCAATCTTTAATTGAATCACATCATAATTAGAAATGTCTTTCGCCATATTGGATCGGTCATCTTGAATTTTCCAAGTTAGACGAAACAATCATCATCTCCATCCCCGGAAACCTCCAGATACCTTCCAATTTTGAATAGAATCGGATCTTAATGACAAAACTCGTCCACCATATTGGATCCGCCATCTTGAATATCCCAATTTTGACGAAATAATTATAATCTCCGACCCCGGATATCCCCAGATACCAATTTTGATTTTTCAATAGAATCGGATCATAATTACAAAATTCATTCGCCATATTTAATCCAATTTTGACAAAAAATCATAAAGTTCGACCCCGAAAACCCTCAGATGCCAATCTTAAATAGAATCAGATCATAATAAGACATTTCTTTCGCTATATATTGGGTCCGTCATCTTGAATTTTCCACACGGTGTTCCATTTGGAATTATCATCTCCCATTCAGTTTTTCAAGTAAACGTAATAAACCTTTTATTTAACCACCCTGTATTGAAGTAACTGAGATTATGCTGAAGTGTATGGAGCTCAACCCTGAAGTCCCTGATAATCAGCATTTTTTGAGGTCGTATTAAAACATATAGGGAAATATTAGAAGTTGTTAGGATATCGATTAAGATTCTGAAAATGATTCACATACAGAGTGTTCCATTTCTCATACAAGCGGAAACACCGCATTGTGGAAAATAGTTTAGTTGGATAGATGTGCCATCTTGCAACGTGAATCAGCCTGTATAAGAAAATAACGGAAAATGATTCGATTCGGTTTCTATACGAAGATTAGTACGTATACACTGCCCAGCAAAAAAATACGGCCACTGAAAATTGGCCCCTATTTCAAAATATGATTCTGATGGGTTTTGTTTCGACCTAAGGTTTTCAACATCAGCCACAACAGCATTGTTACTGATGAATCAACCTATAGTTGTTGAAAAAAATCATGATAATCAGATTAACGGTTCGGGAGAAACCAGCTTGAAAAAATGGGGCAGTGTATCACATGAAAAAGTTATGGGTTCAAAATTCAATTATCGAACCAGTGACATTTATATGCCCACAAAATGGGACATATACAGGGTGTCCCTAGACCAGTGGGACAGTTAAATATCTTCTGCACCAATAGGAATTTTCGAAATATTATAATTCCACATCATATCGCATTGTGAGTGCTAACTTCAAGAATGACTATATTTTCTACGAGCGGCACAAGAAAGGCTCACAAAATCGAACATCAATTTTCTCAAATGGAACACCCTGTATTTTATTGCATTTTCATAATCTCCTTGAAGAGCTGAATTCAAAGACCTAGCACACTTGGGCTCTAGCGGGAATGATTTCCGAGATATAGGGTGTGGAAAATCGAGATTTTTCATTTTTGGGAATTTTTTGTGTCAAAACTATTCATTATTGGTCAAAATGGCTCACATGTCCATATCTTAACTTTTGATTTACTATTCACTCGTATTTAATTGAAACAAATACAGGGTGGTGTGGAATTCCGACTGAACCTGAGAATTCTACACCACCCTGTATTTGTTTAATTTAAATACGAGTGGATAGTAAATCAAAAGTTGAGATATGGACATGTAAGACGTTTTGACCAATAATAAATAGTTTTGACACAAAAAATTCCCAAAAATGAAAAATCTCGATTTTCCACACCCTATATCTCGGAAATCATTCCCGCTAGAGCCCAAGTGTGCTAGGTCTTTGAATTCAGCTCTTCAAGGAGATTATGAAAATGCAATAAAATACAGGGTGTTCCATTTGAAAAAATTGATGTTCGATTTTGTGAGCCTTTCTTGTGCCCCTCGTAGAAAATATAGTCATTCCTGAAGATAGCACTCATGATGCGATATGATGTGGAATTATAATATTTTGAAAGTTCCTATTGGTGCAGAAGATATTCAACTGTCCCACTGGTCTAGGGACACCCTGTATATCTATAGATTTAGGTCATTATTTATATTTTACCTTGTACCTCACTAAACATCACACGGTGTGATAACTAGTCTAAAAAGGGCTCGCGCCTATTTTTTTATGTTTTTACATATATTTTTATTTATTTAAAGTAATTTTTATTTAGGATTGTAGTCCTTCTTTCCTACACTGATTGTCGAACAAAATGTTTATCGATGCAACATTTGACAGCAAATGTTGACGTCATTGTTATAGGAACTCGTGAAATCGTCTTTCTTTTTTCACTCATCGCGATTTCATGAAATAAATTTAGGTGGGAGTCCCCGTCGTTTTATACCGATTTGTTTTCTACAGGGTGTTTCAAAAAAACCTGACCCCCTTGCTAGGGTAGGTAGAACACTGCAAAATAAGTTGGGTTTGCTCAGTGAAAAAATGTCGTAACGGCATCCGTTTGCATGATACAAGTGTTAAAAAAATGATTTTTTCACACATTTTTCACGATTCTGTCGAAACTAATGGCAACATTGTAATGAAATTTTGTATGGATGTTTCTGGAAATCTGACACATCGCATGAATTTGTTTTTATATCTGACTCTCATAGAGGGCGCTAGATACACGGTTTGTACCGAGTAGTTTAGAACATAACTTTCTTGAGGTTAGATTTTTCGATCCAAATATGATATGAACTTCAACATCATTCAATTTTACACCAATATGGTACTCTTGGTGAAACTCGATACTATGTTCCGTTTTCGGAATATTTCGATTTGAAAATAATGGATTAGTATAAAATGAATTTTATTGAGTTCAATTACCAATTTATTCAGATTCAAAAACAATGAAATTATTCTTGTGCTGAAGTTATTGATGGAACAAAGAATCATAAGTAGAAAATTAAGAGATATTCGACTAGAAACATGAAATATTGAATCAGTTAGAGTAAGTGTTCAAAATGTCCTTCGTTTCGACGAATTCACGATTCTATATTCTTTTCTTGAGAATAATACTTCCAAACAGTTGAAGATCAGCTGTTAGGTCATTTAAGTGATGTTTAATAAGGTCTTACAACTCTTGACATGAATAATTCACCTATGTAGCATAGACTTTCTGCTCAAGATACAACAAAACTGTGTAATCTATGTTCTTAGTCAAATCTGTTTCGATGTTATTCTTGTGATTCATTGTTAAATCAATGAGTTTTGCATCAGAAATGTATTGTTGTTTTCGGTTTTCAATAAATAGGTGATAATTTTTCATAATACTCACTCTAATACATAGCTTTATACCAGCAACAGTAATCACTTCATCATTTTTAAATCGAAATATTTCGAAAACGGAACACAGTGTCGAGTTTTACCAAAAGTACCTTTTTGATGTGAAATTGAATGATGTTCAAGTTCACATCAAATATCGATTGAAAAATCTAACCTCAAAAAAGTTATGTTCAAAACCACTCGGTACGAACCGTGTAACTAGCGCTCTCTATGAGAGTCAGGTATCAAAACAAATGCATGCAATGTGTCAGATTTCAAGAAACATCCATACGAAATTTCATCACAATGTTGCCAGTAGTTTCGATATAATCGTGAAAAATGCGTATATTTTTTTTTTTCAACACCTTGTATCTTGATATCGGATGTCGTTACGAAATTTTTTTACTGAGTGAATCCAACTTATTTTGCAGTGTTCTACCTACCCTAGTAAGGGGGTCAGGTTTTTTGTAACACCCTGTATATACAGTACTTCCGTGAAATAATATGGTCACCTCCCCCTCCTTTTTTTTCATCTTCTTAACTTCAATAGGAGTGCTTGAAGAAATCTTCTGGTGGAAATTTTCACTGAATACATTTTATTAAATCACATTTTCAATCTTCAATGTTTTTTGATACACAGGGTCTATCATTTTTTCGAAATCTACATTCAATTGATTGTTTGAATGGAAAGTCATACTCATTTTTGTCAAGTTCGATATTGGCAAATTGACAATGATGAGTAGTTTCAAAAATTTCCAGCCATCCAATTCTGATAGATATTATTTCATCAGCTCCCAGTAGTCCCAGGACTAACTCTTATTGAGTGAAAAAAGTGGGTGGAAAAATCGTAAGGGGTGGAGTGAATCTACGGAAGCACTGTATAAAATTGTGAAAGGGACTCTTCAATAGGTTAATACACTTTTATATAGTATCATATATTTTTTGTATGTTGTTTTGTTGACTTGCGCCAA